GGTTTTGGTCCCCATACGATCCTCTCTTTCTGCCCCACATCACAGCAAGCACATAAGGCAGCCCGAGTGTGCCCTGCTTGTGCACCAGCGGGAAGTTCAAACCATGCAGTCTTGGCTTGCACGCAGGATCACACATTCTTCCCCTAATTCCTGAGCAGCATAAAACTCCACACCAATCCCCTTTCCCTGCTCTCTCATGACATTTGAATCTCCTTGAGAAATTTACCTTGCTCCCCACAAATTGTTGCATTACATGTATGATAAATATTTACATATGTATATATATTTTGTTTTTTTTCTGTTACCAGGAATCGAACTCATGACCTTGCACTTGCCAGGCAGGCGCTGTGCTGCTGAGCTAAATCTTCAGCCCCTATATGGTATATTATATATGCTACTATTGGGGTCGGTGATTATAGAAATGTTATTTTTTAAGAAGCTGTTCACTTCTGTGGGGTAACTAAAACATAACATAGTTAATTTACAGATTTAAGAAGCTTATTCAATGCTAGTAGACTACACACACACACACACACACACAGAGAGTTTTCACTAGTTAACATGCTAAAACCAAAAATAAAGATAAAATCTTAACATCAAGGGGGAAAAAAAAAAAAACCACACTATATAAAAAGGAGTATTGACTTGAATGGCCACTATGATCTGATAAAAACTTTTAGAGTTCAGACACGTGAAAGACACATCTTGAAATTAAAGATAGAAAAATAACTTCAATCTAGAATTCTGTATCTTTTAGAGTTTGAAAGAAATGTACATTTAGATGAAAGAAAATCAGCTAACTCTAGACCCAAGTTATAAGATATGTCACAACTTGAAAGGGTGTCTTCAAATTTAAAGTTGGGAATACAAGGATGATGCTAGACATTATACAAAATACAGGCCAATCCTAAAACAAAGAATATCCCCTCCAAAATGTCCAGAATTCAAAGGTTTGGTATTAGTACATTAAAATATTTATGACATGTGATACTGACATAAGAAATGAGGAATAGATCGATGAAAAAGAACAATACTTTCAGAAATACTCACAGTTACTTGATTGTAAATAAGGTCACCAAAAATACTTGTTGGAAAAAGAAACTATTTTTAACAAATAGTGTTATAATGTACACAGCAGATCAAGACAAAGCCTTGAGGGGTAAAAAAAATGAATGTAAAGTCTCACCTGTCCAAAAA